TGTCTTATGACAGCAGTCTCTCAACACATTTAGCACCGTGTTTCCTGGATAAGCCAATACTCCCCTTGAAGTATCTCTGAGGGGGCGGGGCAGGGTGCAGTGCGCTCCAACAAACAAGCCCTGCTTTCCTTGTCATCAGAGTCAATCGAGCCCACAGTCCTCGGATGCATGGGTCGATGGATTAACACATGGGAGCCGAAGTTCTCCAAGGATCACAGGATGGTCCTGAGAGCAAAGGCGGGGTCAAGGAGGGGCTGGGTGGAGACCTCTAACCCAGGCTCTCAGTGGGTGGACTGCAGAGTTTTCTAAAATGGAAAGTAGGAGCAGTCTGACCTTTGCTCAGAGGGTTCTGGAACAAACTTCCTTCCTTCTGAAATATCGGTATTTCGTCTGCCCACTTCCCACACAGAACTTAGCGGTCGTGTCTCTTCACTGGGAACAAAAGAAGAAATGTTTCTCTGCCTCATTCCAGCATTCCTGCTCACCCGTGTCCCTTGGAAGTGACTGCTCCACGCAGAACTACCTGCTCCTGGTTGGGTGCACATGATTCCTGGAGGGGTCTGCTTTAAAGGGTCAATGAAGGCGACCATTGGATATTGTCCCAGATGCAGAGGTGGGGAGAAAGGATGAGGTGGGAGTGTGCTTGAGGAAACGGCCTGAGGAAGACAGCAGCGTGAAACGGCAGAGATGGGGGGGGTTCGGGCGTGGCTCCTATGACTCCAGTAATGGAAGAAAGGGGACGTCAGCAGGACACACCGGGGACACCAGGTGCCCTGAGTGGGGTGAAAACGCACTCTCAGTAAAGACAGAGGATCTCACGTGTGTGTAAAGAAGTCCAAGTGTGAGAGTCTGGGGCTACACGGGGCAGTGGTGAGGGGAAGGAGGAAGGGATGGGGGCAAGTAGGTCGTCCTAGAGACTCTAAGCAGATTAAAAATAAGAGGTGAGACTCGGAGACTCAGCCCCAGGAAGGCAGACACCCTGCCGGGGAAGCGGGAGGAGAGGGGGGGGAAGGGCTGATAGCTGGGAGGGGTAGCAGATGGTCACAGTCATTAAAAGGATTTCAGTAAGTCCTGCAAGCCGTGGGCAGCAGAGACAAGCTTGAGTAAGCACTGGGAGAAAAGAACTAAGCAGAGCTTGGGAAGAAGGAAACTTACACAGAACCCGCTTCCCTGCCACCTCGATGGCTACATATCCCTGCTTCAGTCTCTAGCCCACCCTCAACCCCAACGCGAATGCTTCTTAAACCAATCGTGACAGCAAGTCTTGAGTAGACTGTTTGTCTTGAGGCCACCTCAGTGCCAAGAACAGCTTGGGTGATTAAAAGATGTTTACCGAGTCACTAAAATCCTTAGCACACCCGCATCTTACAGGTAACCTAACATGGAATCTGACCCCAGGTTCCCGCTCTTATTCATCCCCGTCCTAAGCCCAAAGGCCACTGTGCCCATCTCCAACTTTACTTCACCCCATATTTTCCTACCCCCACATACCTGGATGGGTGCTCTAAACCGCAGCGGCCGTTAAGGGGAGAGAAATAGCCTGGAAGCCACATCACACTAGAAACGCAGACCCCTAGACTCTCAGGCTAACATGGTTATTACCGCTCCAGTGGTTTGGTCCTAAGCCCTGGAGTAAAGAGGGGTCTGGGGTCTGTTACGAGGATGTGAGGCTCTGGGCAAAGGAATCTGATGTTGGACAGAGAGCAGTGAGACTGAGGAAGACAAACAGAGGCAAGTCTGAGCAGACAGAAGCTGTCAGCTCCAGTCGCTTGGCAGAATAGGAGACATCTTCTGCCTCTAACTGCTTTCCAGCCCTGTGCTGTGCAGGCTGCCTGCAGGAAGGCTGAGGTGGGGAGGGCGCTGAGGAGATTGGGGTGGGGAGGGCGCTGACAGGAGACTGGGGTGGGGAGGGCGCTGACAGGAAGGATGAGGTGGGGAGGGCGCTGACAGGAGACTGAGGTGGGGAGGGCGCTGACAGGAGACTGAGGTGGGGAGGGCGCTGACAGGAGACTGAGGTGGGGAGGGCGCTGACAGGAGACTGAGGTGGGGAGGGCGCTGAGGAGACTGAGGTGGGGAGGGCGCTGACAGGAGACTGAGGTGGGGAGGGCGCTGACAGGAGACTGAGGTGGGGAGGGCGCTGAGGAGACTGAGGTGGGGAGGGCGCTGACAGGAGACTGAGGTGGGGAGGGCGCTGACAGGAGACTGAGGTGGGGAGGGCGCTGAGGAGATTGGGGTGGGGAGGGCGCTGACAGGAGACTGAGGTGGGGAGGGCGCTGACAGGAAGGATGAGGTGGGGAGGGCGCTGACAGGAGACTGAGGTGGGGAGGGCGCTGAGGAGATTGGGGTGGGGAGGGCGCTGACAGGAGACTGGGGTGGGGAGGGCGCTGACAGGAGACTGGGGTGGGGAGGGCGCTGAGGAGATTGGGGTGGGGAGGGCGCTGACAGGAGACTGAGGTGGGGAGGGCGCTGAGGAGACTGAGGTGGGGGGGTGCTGACAGGAGACTGAGGTGGGGAGGGCGCTGACAGGAGACTGAGGTGGGGGGCCGCTGACAGGAGACTGAGGTGGGGAGGGCGCTGACAGGAGACTGAGGTGGGGGGGCGCTGACAGGAGACTGAGGTGGGGAGGGCGCTGAGGAGATTGGGGTGGGGAGGGCGCTGACAGGAGACTGAGGTGGGGAGGGCGCTGACAGGAAGGATGAGGTGGGGAGGGCGCTGACAGGAGACTGAGGTGGGGAGGGCGCTGAGGAGATTGGGGTGGGGAGGGCGCTGACAGGAGACTGGGGTGGGGAGGGCGCTGACAGGAGACTGGGGTGGGGAGGGCGCTGAGGAGATTGGGGTGGGGAGGGCGCTGACAGGAGACTGAGGTGGGGAGGGCGCTGAGGAGACTGAGGTGGGGGCGCTGACAGGAGACTGAGGTGGGGAGGGCGCTGAGGAGACTGAGGTGGGGAGGGCGCTGAGGAGACTGAGGTGGGGGGCGCTGAGGAGACTGAGGTGGGGGGGCGCTGACAGGAGACTGAGGTGGGGGGGCGCTGAGGAGACTGAGGTGGGGGGGCGCTGACAGGAGACTGAGGTGGGGAGGGCGCTGACAGGTACTGAGCTGCTCTGGAGCTGCTTCCTACCTGATGCCGCCTGACTCTGGAGCAGAACTCCCTCTGGGCACTGCTCCTTCCCTGACATCTCCAAAGAGCACAGCTCTGCGCATCTCTCAGGAGCTGTTGCTGCGGCACCTGGGAAACGGCTGTTCTACTCTTGTCACAGCCAAATCTGAGGACTTTACGTGTGACAGATGTGCTAGGTCTGGGTCCTCATCTCCTGGAATAGGATGATGGAGTTAGTTGTAGTTCTTTCTCTAGGGGGTGAGACATCAGTTCCCAGATGTCATCTGGAGCTCGCATTCATAGGAGATGTCACCCTAACCAGGGAGACTGAAAAAACTCGCCCGGCTTCCAGCTGTTTCCTCTTCTTTTCTTTTTCTTTCACATGTATGGGTGTCTGCAGTGAGCCATGAGCATACGGTGCCCAAGGAGGTCAAAGAAGATGTCAGGTCCCTGAGACTGGAGTGAAGGACAGTTTGTTAGGCATTTACAGGTGCTGGGGATTGAACCCTGGTCCTCCGGAAGAGCAGCCAGTAGTCTTAACCACTGAGTCATCTCCCGAGCTTCCCAACTATTTCTTGATCTAAACAACTTTGAGCCGGTAACATCTGCGCTCAGCTCTGAATCTGGAAGCGGGCACCGAGTCGGGATCTCCCGCCCTTGGGTGGGACCTAAAGTCTCAGACCAGCTTTCAATGCCTGTGACAAGTACTTGGATGGAGGGGGTGTAACAAGTGTTCTGGCTAACGGCCTCTCGGCCTTTCTCAATGACAGATGTGGGCCTTGGAAGCCTAGGGCAGGACAGGAAGGGAGGAGGGGGAGGGAGGATATTCAGAATGATAATGAAGAATGTTTGATATCGTCAGGCGTGGTGTCTGCTGAAAAGCAGTGGCACAAAGGCTGGGGAACTCTGGTGAGGAACCGTCTTCCTGGGAGGTAAAGAGTCCACAGGGTTGCCGACAGGGGAGACATCCACACTCCAGGCCAAAGCCTGAAATCAGCAAGTACACAAAGTGGAGACACACAGAGCCTTCGGTCTGAACCTCTGCTCCAAGGCTCCATTCTGACCAGGCACACATGCCACAAATGTAGCTAAAGGCATGCAGCATCCCGTGAAGAATGTTCCGGAGCACAGCCAAAGCAATCCGCCTGAAAAAACGCCTCCCTAGCCCGGCCTGTGCATCAATCAGCCGTACAGCAACCACACACTTACCAAAGACTCTCTCCACCTGGTGGTCCACTGAGGAATCGTTAAGTAGCATGGTCACACCACAAAAGGTTAGAGTAAGTCCCCGGTGACCCTCGACTCCCGAGACCCTGGACTGCTATTGCCCAAGTCAGCAACCCTGGGAACTAAACCCCAGACTATCTACAAATCGATATGATTTTACCTACAAACAGAATTGCCATGGGCCTTTCAGGGGACGACTGCTTCAAAGAGGGAGACTAGGACGCTGTCACGGCTGGAGCAGCTGTCTTTTGGGAAGAAGCAAGGGTGGCCATAGCAACCTCTCTATGTCCTTTTTATTCCTTGGCTCACCCTGGGGTTTCCTGGTCTTTGGATGGATGACCGGAAAGGATTCAGTGGTTTGTAAGTAGGGAAGAATTCTGGGTCCAGCGAGAGGTCTGGAGAGGACTAAAGAGATAAATGCTCGTATTCCACATCTGAGCAAAAGGCCCAGGAAGTGTGGTGACTGAGGAAAGTTCTAGATCTTAGGCTTAAGGGTTCTGAGCAGAACACCATGAACAAGGCAAGTATCTTTTCTGTGTCTGCATTTGCTGGTTCCCCAAGGAGTCCTCAACCACAGGGAGCATATCCTGACCCCAAACTAAGGGCAGTGGGAGTGGCTTCCTCCGCTGCCTTCTCAGACCACAGCGCTGGAGGCAGGAGACTCACACTCCTATTCCATCAACTTCCGAGAGACCACAAAGGCTCTAGGCTCCTCTGTATCCCAGACTCTGGCCACCAGCGGGCACACACTGTGGGTTTGCTGGGGGAAACGAGGCATGCGGGCACTTTCCAGGAGGAGATAAGCTAAGGAGAGCACGGGTTTGAAAGATGAGGATCGGGTGGGGGAGGAGAGATGCCATCTCATATTCCAGCAGAAGGCAGAGACCCAAGGGTTCCCTCGCTGTTTCGGAAGGAGAAACTAAGGTACCGACGCCAGGCGTGTGTTTGAGCTGAAGAGTCGAGCCCCACCCTCCAGCCCAGATGGGCAGTGCCACTGCTCAGCCAGCTGCTCTGGAAGATGTAAAGTGCTATCTAAACACGGTGCATTATAAACACTTTAGAAATCGTATTTCACAGCTGCCCGCCCGGAGCTGGAAGATGAATTCCTCCTCCTGCTCTCTGGCAGCAGAATTATCCTTGGAGCTCAACGCGGCAGCAATGATATGTGAGTGGGGCCAGGACGGAGCAGGCCACGGTGGAAGACGCATCATCGGAGGTAGGTCCTGGGTGTCTGAGCAAGACAGCCGGCTTGATCTATCTGGCTCTGCCATCTGGCAGAGTGATCGACTCTCGGAATGCAGAAAGGGCCTGGAATCCAGGCTCTCCCGCTCTATTGAAAACACCGCCCCGTATGCAGAGCCTGTGCCCCGGAAGGAAGAGCTAGGGAAGGTAAAGACTGGTATGGCGTGGTGGGAGAAACAAGTCCTTGGGGTGGTCACAAGGGCCCAAGAGCTGCCATTACCAGTGTGAGGGCTTGTTAGAGAAAGATGTAGAGGAGGAGGTTGCACCATATGGGAAGGGGTGTCCTGGAAGGGCATGGGGCTTCCAGACAAGCCCGAAAGTGTACAGGGGACGGAGATGGCAGATAGAGGCTGGGCCCATCTGGCTGGAAGGGAAGAAGTGGAAAGGATGGAGTAGGGGGAATGTATCCCTGGGGAGGAGGAAGCAGGCATGAGCCGCAAGGAAAAAGCCACGGCAGTGGACCCAGGGCTTGCTCCTGCACCGGCAGCCAGAGGACACATAGAGCAGGGGATATGGCACTCGCCGCCGCTGCATTCAAGTTCCAAGCTCAGGTCTTCTCTGAGAGTGCTGGGCTCCTCTTCCTGAGCTCCATTGGCATTGCAGGCAGCTTGTAATTAGGCGCAGGGAACAGATGAACCAATTTTCAATTAAACCTTATCTACAGGGTGCACAGATAATAAAGGTGGGTATGTTTGACTCTTTCCTTAGCCAGCCTTCAATATTTGCAGTGCCTGGAAGGAGATGCAGGGAGGGTGCCTTCGCAGCCCTGGTAACGTATAAATTCTGCTGGTAATTACATGACTTTCAGTACCACAAGAGGCCAATAAAATGGTTTTGAGGCACGCAAATTTCTGGCGTGCTGGCCTTCCCCAGATGGCACCTAGACGGTGGTCTAGGGAGGGTGTGCTGCCCAAACCTCTGAGGTGAGGGACAGCTGTAGCAAACACAGAGCTTTCTGCTAGCAGAAGCCTGTATCTCTGGCAGAGCTGCAAAAGCAGTTCAAAGCATGTTTCTTCCATAATGAAGTAGAAGGACCCTCAGGGGACCAAGGAGCTTCGAGCAGCTGTGGGTAATGACAGCAAATGCTGGGTTCTAGGAACTTAGCAGAGCCCACCCCGCTTTGCTCCTGCGTTCCCAGGTGGGCCTATCCGGGTTAGGTAGCCACGGTTTGTTTTCTTTTTGTTCTTTCGCTCTCCTGCTTTCTTGAGGGTGGTAGAGTTGTAAGCCCTTGGGCCTAGGTTCAGCCAAGTGAAGGCTAAGACTCTCTGAGTTTCAGTTTCATCAGTGATGCAACAGGGTGACAGATCAGCCCAGAAACGGGTGACAGAAAAGACCACAAAAAAGATTCTGAAGAATACAGTGAAATGGTCCATGAAAGGAAGGTTCCTGTGTGCACACCCGTAAATCCCCGCATCCAGAAAAGGGGTAACCTTGCCAAGAGGAGCATCTCTGCTGACCTCATTGCCCTATTTTAATGTCTCTATCTCTGCAGGAGTACATACTTGATAAAATAACCATTTGTAGAATAAATAGAATTGATGAGGACAGAGGAATTCTAAGAACAGTCGGTGGGCGGGTTTTAGTAGCATGTGGGGAGAAAATGTCTGCTGGGGAAAAGGGCACATCCCAGTGGCGGACTGCTTGCCTGGCAGGCGCGTAAGTCTGGGTTCCATCCCCAGTAGAGGCCTCAAAAACAACAGACATTTCACTGGAGTCAGAAGACCTAGACTGAACAACCACTCGCCAAGGAAGTAGGCCCGGGGGCCAGCAACACTTCCCAGTTCTCATTTCCTCCTCTATAAAGAGCACGGGCTGGACAGGCCTTGAAAATGATGAGCAACGCTCAGATGTCGGAGTACTTTTGAAGCCAGAGAGAGGCACTGAAAATCACTATAAATATCATGACCAGACCTCAAGCACATTAGTGGCATGGGGAGGGGATACGGCCCCGAACTCTGAGGTGGAGAACCGGGTAACTAACACAGTTTTTGCATGTTTCCCCACAGCCTGGCATGTGTTTAAGATAATCAAAACTTGAGTAATAATGTAAGGATGGTGATGTTCCCATAAATATTCACAGGTAGCTCAGCGGTGAAGAAATCCTGTTTGTAACCTCTGTGAGTTGTCAAACTGAACCAGTCTTCCGGCTGGACCTACCCCCCCCCCCCCCCCACCTTCTTCTCAACCCAGCCCACCACTCTCTCAATCCTTTGTGGCCCATGAGTCCAGAAAAAGAAAGAAAGAAAAAAAAAAGGAAACCCAGAAATCAAAACAGGTGATGCAACGCAGAGGCACTCTGCCTTCCATCCTGGGCCACTTCATGCAGGGTTTATGGCTGTCGCTATGGAGATAAGGGGGGGGGGGGAGGGATAAGGCATAGCCTCCAGGTATTAGGAACAATGACCTCCAGCCAAACATCAGCTCTGGTATGTAGGAGAGAAATTATTAATTTGGTTGTTTCTGAGACTGAGACAGAGTTTCACTCTGTAGCCCAGTCTGGCCTTAAACTCACAGTGATCCTCCTGTCTCAGCTTTCTTCTGGGAAGAAATCAGCAGTTTCAATGGTGATAAAAGAAGAAAGACTAAGAACAATGGCACACACCAGCAGTCCCATCACTCAAAAAGTAGGGGCAGGAGGTTAAGCCCGGCCTTAGCCACACAGAGTAGGGAGGAGCCAGAGCTAGTCAGACCGCGCAGAGGTAAGAGCGCCTACTGCTCTTTGTAGATAGAGGACCCTGGTGCCTGGCACCTAAATGGTAGCTCACAACTGTCTGTAACTCCAGCTTCCAAGGCCCCAATGCCCTCCTCTGACATCAACGGGCTTGTGTACACATGCAGCACACAGGCTTAAACTCAGACACACCACACACACACACACACACACACACACACACACACACACACCACACACGCACGCAAAATAAAATGCATTTCAGAATTAAAAAGTTTGAGGCCATTTTGGACCCAGTCTTGAAGATGACAAAAAGGAGGGAAGAGTGAACATGAGAAGTTTGCAAAGGATAGGGTGAAGCCTTGAGCTAGCAGATGCGACAGAGTACGTACCGTTTGACAGAGGTAGGCGGGGCAGCAAGTGTGTCCGGAGAATAACGGGGCGTGGGGGCCGGGGCACGCAAAATTACAAATAAAACAGATCTATTTAAAGAGTTAAAATGTGCCAGGCAGCAGTGGCAATTGTCTTTAATCCTTGGGAGGCAGCCTGGTCTACAGAGAGAGTTCCAGGACAGCTAGGATTGCACAGAGAAACCAGGTCTTGAAAAACAAAACAAAACAAAAAAAAAGTAAAAATGTATCATTATTGTGAGTGTGGATGTACATGGTGTGTGTGTGCGTGTGTGTGTGTGTGCGTGTGTGTGTGTGCGTGTGTGTGTGTGTGTGTGTGTGGTGTGTGTGTGTGTGTGGTGTGTGTGTGTGTGTGTGTGTGTGTGTGTGTGTGGTACTATCATGGGATGGACAAGAAGTGGAGTGCCACACCTCCCGCTCAGGGATCTACAAGCAAACACAGTCACATACACATGCAGTGCAGGGTTCTAGGTGAAAGGACAAAGTGTGCCGGGTTGGCAGAAAGGGGGCATCCGCCAGGCAACGATCTGAAACGTGGGAGGTGCTCAGGAAGCACACAAATGAATTCGGGGGGGGAGGCGTCCTTCAAGCAAAACTTGCACGGAAGCAAACGGGAGGCTACGGTGGACTGAGACCCCTGAAGGGTTTCCGATGAACTAAAGAGACGGGGCAAGGGGAGAGCGTTGATGGGCTCGCACGGACTCTCAGGTGCACCAGTCTGGACTTTCATCATGGGGCAACAGAGATACAAGCTGGGGAAACGGTAGGCACGGCGCAGAGAAGCCACACTCCATCTGGAGGGAAACTGTAAGAGTGTAAAGCAAAGGCAGTAGATGTCAATCCGCAGGGTTGGAGGAGCGTGGGATCTGAGAGCGGAGGGTCAGTGAAGACATTCACAGGAGCCCTGGTGTGGTGGGGGGGAGGCAGAGGCCAGTGATGTGTGGGTGACTTCATCCTGCAGATGACCGGGTGGGGGCCGGGTATTATTAAGTTGTTCTTGTACTTTTCCCAGGAAAAGGGTAAGCAAGAAGGGAGGATGAATGAAGCAAAGAGAGAGGAAGAAAGGGCCCCATCTCTGCACTGCATTCCTTCCCAGACAGGAGAAAAGCGGGAGTCAGAGGAGGCACAGCTACTGCGCTGGGGTTGCTGTGGCTGTGTATCCGTTATTGGCAGTGCTGAGTTATGAGGACCTAAAGGGATTTTACACATAGTAATGAAATGGCCACTGTTTCTACTTCATTAATGTCTACTTCATAATCTATACGTGTTTGCTATGTGACCTTGAACCATTCAGAACAATAGCTTACTGTCTGTTTTTATAGATGCCGAGAGCTGCCAGTGGGAGCAGGATTGCCATCTCAGACACAAGGAGGGAGGGGGGAGGTCTTCCAGAGGCAGCATAAGCCGTGGGCACAGAGCAGGACGGGAGCGCGGGACAGACTCCCGTGAGCGCTGGCCTGTGCCGCCTTTGGGACATTCAGTAAGTGGTCCCAATCGTTCATTTGCTTTAGACAAAACTGAGGCATGAGGGGTGAGTCTTCATGTGGAGCTACAGGAACAACAGGCGTCCCTTCTCCCCAGTCGGGTCTGTGTCGGAGCCACATACGGTGCTACTTGCCCATGAAAAGGAATTGGAGAGTGGAGCGAGAGAATCTAAGTCACCTTCTGCTACTTGCTGGGTTCAAGGCCATCCTGCGCTTCATTAGACTCAATACCTGACTGTATTCTCCAGAATTGTGAGATTTCACATTTGATGAAACTTCCTAATCTAATCTGGCCCTTTACTCTACAAAAGATAAAATCAGGGGTCAAAAGAGGAGACGTGGATCTCCTGAAGTCTCATGTCATAGAACCGGTTAACAGCCAAACCAGAAATGAAGTGTGAGTGTGTTCCCGTAGAATCCATCTCATGTCATCTCATGCCAACCACACCCTGCTGCTCTGTCCCTGTAATAGACCCCCATGAAACAAATGATGCAGATGCCCTACACCGCAGGCACAGCCCTCTCAACCTCCAGTCCCTTTCATGACGCTGACTTTGGCCCTAAACCCGAAGAGCTGCACAGCCCTTGACCCCAGCCAGAGATTCTCAGGAAGTGCTCACATCACTTAGACTTAGCCAATAAGGGTTGTGGCTCTGTCTTTGATGACCCTCCCTCATTTACCAAGGGCCATGACTTCTGTGATGTGGGAAGATTCTCAGGATCATTACCTTAATCTTTCTGTCCAGAGACTCTGCTACCTCTTCACTGTCGATTAGACCCGAGACTCATCCAAGACTCTCTCATGATGCATATCAGGGATATATATGTGCATGCATGTGTGTGTGTGTGTGTGTGTCTCTGTGCATGTGTATCTCCTAAGGAGGTTCCAGTTTTAATCCTTCATCTCCATCCTCACCAAAGTGGTTAAAATCTTTTCCATTGCTCCCCAGGATTGTTCCAATTCCTTTCTAATGGTTCCCTGCCTCCAGCTTGCTCCTCTTAAATCCATTCTCAATACAGCTGCCCAAATGGTCTTTCTAAAGCACAGGCCCAGTATAAAATCCTTCAGGGGTTCTCCGGGACTTCAGAAGAAGTACAGATCAGGCTTACCCAAAGCTACTGCCACTCACTCTTCAGAGTCCTCTTCTACACTGCAGTGCCACTTCCTCCCGTGAGGACTCTCACCTTGTCAGGGTCTTGCCCACGCCAGTAGCATCCTGCTCCAGCATCCACGCCGGGCAGCTCCCTGCCCAACCCTTGCTCATTTCTATTTATCCTTCAAGATGCATTTCTGGCTTGGATCCTGGGAGCCTTCCTACCACTCAGCCTGGGCCAAGGCCGCTACGGAGGGATCATGTGCACCTCATCACTCTGCAAAACCTTGGTATGCTCTTAGAGGACAGGTAGTGTTAATTAACCTTTGTACGTAGCCGCGATGTCTAGGCCTCAGTAACATTTGTAGAACTGAGCTAAACCTCAAAGTAGTTCCTGCTCCCTTTCCTAGCATCCTACAAATATCTTATTCATTCTTGCTTGCCAGTCCAAGTTTTTTTCTCCCAGTGCCTCCTCTCCAGGAAACCTTCCCCAACAGCCCACCTGACTGCTCCTCTTGGAATCCCTCAGCTCAGCTGTCCACCTTGTCTTTCTCTATTCTCTGAGAAGGGAGACTGATCCCATTAGTCTCTGCTGCCTATGCTTCCTCCGACACACTGAACCACTTCATACTCTGGTCAACAGTGTACCATTTCCTACTCTTGTAATTAGCCTTCTACCTGGAGAATAAGGACATTGCTTCACTCTTAAAGCAACACCAGAAACGAGATTCACTGCAGCAGGATTAACTTGTGGCTGTTCGGGAACCCACCCTGAGTTACCAAATTGGACATTCTGTAATTTTTGTATATACACAAAGGCTCACAGTTTCTTTCCCTTTGTGGCCACTCCAAGTCATCTCCCCATGTCCCTCTTTGCTATCCTGTGATTCTACAGCTGTGAAATCAAAGAGGACAGGGCATAGTCTGTCTGCCCTCACAGGTCCAGCAGGTTGAAGCTCAGAACAGCCAGGCAGAACAGAAAGACGCTTTCCCATCTTAACTCTTTTCCATCCTGAGAGAGGCAGCAGAGCGCAGAGCTCAAGTGTATCCGTGCGGCAGCCCACCAGGCCAGTCAGCCCGGGGCAACACGCTTGCTTTGTAGAATGAAGAGGATACCAGCTTCCAGTAAGGTGCAACTGGAACCAATCTCACTTCATTCTTCTTTGTCTTCCACCCTCCTTATTTACAGCATCCTACAGACCAACCTCCATGCCATTTAAACTAGGCATGCTTCACAGCACGCCCGAAGACTACAAGGATGACTGGACCACAGAACGTCACAGATTCAGGGAACTTGACTTCCAGAGACCTTCTTGAAAAGAAAACATGAAACACGTCCAGGAAACAGGAGAGTGTTCAGCTGGAGGAGGAGCACAAAAGGCAGAGGACAGAAAACAGGCTTGACTGGAGCAGGTTCAAGGGGACCAAACCGGGAGGCAGCGGTAAGAGATGCTTCACCTGATACCCAGCTAAAAGGCACAAGACCACAGACTGGCTTCGCCAGGCCTGGGACGAGAACCGGAAGTGCTCGGCGAGTGGTAATATACTACCACCAATCGTCTGTCAGACATCGTTTTTACGAAGGCTGCACCCACACAGCCGAGGCGTCCTGAAAACTCACCGGGCTTGACTGAGACGAATCTCCATTACCAGACAGTGGAATATCCTTAGCCAGGAATTATGCCAATGGTCATCTGAGCCATATGATCCCCAGACCCCCACTCTCCACCCCAGGCAGGTTAGCATTTCCAGCCCACATTACGCAACGCGTCCGAGTTCCTTTGCATTATCCGAAGAGGGCTGGGATTTTAGCAGAACTCTGTCTCGGTGCCTCCTTCAGCCAATGCTGATTCCACAGCAGGCACCGAGTGCAGCTTAATCAGATGAGGAAACAACGCAGGCAAGGACTTCTAATTCAGGCTGTACTGCAGCTTCCAGGCGTCAATCCTAGCTTTTCCTCGGGGGTCACGTAAAACGAATCTAATTCTCTTCCACATGATAGTCCTTTAAGTATGAGAGGCGAGTTATGACATTCCCCCCGAGTCTCCTTTACCTCTGACCAGAGATCCTTCATCTCTAACGCTGCTGCTGCTCCCACAGGCACCTCCCTGTAAACACACTGCATCTTCTCTCTCGACCCCAGATGGACACTGCTCAACTCTCTGGACCCCAGACGGACACTGCTCAATCCATAACCTCGGCTCTCCTCATAAGCAAAAGCACCCTGGCAGAACTGGGTACATAATCCCCCGTCCCACACAAGAACATCTCACTAAGGTCACTGGGGATGGAGCTCCTCAGCGGGTAACGCTAGCCCATCTTAGTCCTCCTCTTATTGGGGTGGGTCGTTACCTAATTTTCCATGCCTAGATCTGGATCGGGATTTGCACGGGCCAGGCACGCGTGTGCTCTACTGTTGAGCCCACCCCTAGTCCTTAGCCATCTTGCCTCATGGGCCACAATAGAACTTTCTAGTTGAAAGCAGGAGCTTTCCTCACAGGTCCTGCAGGACCCACACACATGGTTTTTCTGTGACTGCCTACCCTCTGGTATTTCCTCTTCACTTTTGGGGTTATAATATAATTACATCACTTCTGCCTTCCTTTTCTTCCCATATACCTTGTTGCTGGCTTTCAAAGTTATGTTCCGCCCCTCTCCACCGACTGCGGTTACATGTGCATGTGTGTGACACATATACTCCTAAATATAACCGTCCAGTCTGTATATTACGTGCATGTTTTCAGGGCTGGCCATTTGCCATCAGACAAACAAGCAGTGTGCTCTTCCCTGGGGAAGAGCATTTCTCCAGCTCAGCATCCTTTGGTCCTCTGCTGAGGCATCCTGGGCGTGCTTCTATTCACATTAGCAAGCCAGTTGTTGCCCTTGTTCAGCACTCATGCTGGTGAGGCTCCATGGGGGGAGCTTCTGACATTCCCAGGAAACATGATCTCATGGCAAAACTCCCTGTTCTTAGCCACCCCTCTTCCATAAGCATCCTTGAGCCTTCAGTTCTGGAGCTGTATTATAGGTGTTCCCATTGGAACTGGGCCCCGCCACTTCTCATCTTGATTACCCATGGTTTTCTGCCTGTTACGAAGAGTTTCCTTGATAAGGGGTGAGGACTACACTGATCTGTGTGTTTCCAGGGTTTTGCTTTGGGCCTGTCTGTGGCGAACTCATTTAATCATACGGTCTGTGCATACATTTGTACATATTTGTGCATGTATGAATGCATGCAGTTGTGGTGGAGGTCAGAGGTCGACATTGGGTTTATTTTTTTGAGACGGGGTCTTTCACTAAACCCGCAACTTACATATTCACAAGACTAGCTGGCCAGCAAAACCTAAGGATCCTCCTGCCACCTGACCCTCCAGCACTAGGATGACATGTTTCCACTACTATGCCTGGCTTTTTCCATGGGTACTAAGGATCTAAATTCAGTCATATTTGTGTGGCAAGCATTTTACTGACTGAGCAGTCTCCCCAGCCTTTAGTGACATGACTTTAAACATGTGTTCTGGTGTCCTATCTCTGCTCAGAACACCCCCTCAAGACCTAGATGCATCTATTAAATGGCCTATTTAACATCCCTCCTTGGGTATCTAATTAGTATCTCACACTTAACTAACGAAGCTCCTGGGCTGGAGATACAGTTCAGTGGTAGAATATATGCTTGGCACATAAGATGCCCTGGATTTCATCCCCCAAAGTGAAACTGAGCCTCTGGTTTTCACCCTGACCCTATACTGTCAGTACATAACAATTTCACTCCTCCAGAACTTAAAGCAAAACATATCACCCGAGTCCTATTTCTTTCTTGCCTAGTACCCAAACCACCAGTCAATAGTGGTAGTTCTAAGTTCAAAGTAACTCTAGAGATGGGTACCTGATGCTAGCCACCATTTCATGCCAAGACAGCTAGAGTAGCCATGGAGACCCCACTCCTTCCTTCCTAGGTTCACTCTTAACATAGCAGCCAGAATAACTGTTCAAACAGAAATTCTAACATGTGGCTCCTCTGCCTACTTCATCCCTCCCCCGACCCACAGATGGCTTCTGATATTGTTGAGAAGCCATGGTCCTGAGAATTCCTTCAAAGCCTGCTCTTAAAAAGCTTGTCTGGTCTTCATTCTAGTTCCAAGCTCTAAGGACTTCGGAGTGACAGGAGTAGTTTTGCTACTCATGCTAGACCCACAGATGGTTTTTTGTTTGTTTGTTTTCGTTTGGTTTGGTTTTTGCTTGTTTGAGACAGAGTCTCATGTAGCCCAAAATGATCTGAACTAGCTATAAAGCTAAGGACAACCCCGAACTCCTAAGCCTCCCACTTCTGCTCAAGTGTTGGGATTACAGGAGTGTGCCATTGTGCCCAGCTCCACACCTGGGTTAATGCTAGGGAGGCTAGAGGCTGCAAACTCAACTGAGAAACTCCAGTAAACACCCCAGACACTCAGGGCTCCAGAAGCTTCTAGTTACTGAATGCATGACTTGTGGAGGATGTTAGTCTTGATTCCTCAAGCAGAGGACATGGCAGCTCCATCTGAAACCTTCTCAGATCTCTATGGCAGGTCTCTTTGAAAACCGTACGACTTTTCCGAACTCTGTGAGACATTCGTGAAGTTATCAAATCCAATAGGGTCGTGGCAGCTCCTGAACTTGAGACTGGCATTCGAAGTGCAGGGAATTTTGCTGGGCCATGTTCTGCACTGTGTGAAATCTGCCCTGTGTCCAAGGTGATGAGGGTCAGAAATGGGCTGTGGCACTGAAGACATGGCCTGCACTGCACGCTGCTTTACGAACCCACACCGCACCCTCCACAGCCATTGTTTCCCTCGATTCACCACACCCGTGTCAGCTTTTGCTCAGCTACACCAGGCACATTCCTGCGTCTCACCTGTGCCTTTCTCTCCTCTGGATCTTTCCTAAGTTGCTGCTTTCTGAGTAAGCTCTCCAGCCCATTATGGTTTGGATCGTATGTTATGGTTTGCTCTTCCCAAAGCCCATGCACTAAAGGCTGGATGATGCTGTCGGGAGACGGTGAGATCTTCAGGCGGGTGAGGTGACTGGGATTCTGCTCTTTCCTCTCTCTGCTTCCTGGCTGCTGTGAGATAAGCAGCTTGGTTCTGCCACACACTCTCCACTAAGATGTTCTGCTTCACCACCAAAGCAATGGGGCCAAGCAACTGCGGACTAAAGTCACGGGCCAGGATAAACCTTTCCTCCTTATAGGTTGCTCAAATATTTGTTACAGCCACAGAAATTTGACTGATTTAAACTGTCGACCAGCTTTGCCACATCCTAGACTCCCCTCCTACTGCTTGATTGTTCTCCATGACCCTTACCACTGCTCCTATTGTAACTGAGTATTCATATTGTAATTATTAATTTATCTACTGGATCTTTCCTTTATAGATCTAAGAGGTGGGCATTTTCTTTTCCTGTTTTAGTTATTACTGTCAACACAGCACTTAGAAAATACATCAGGAGATTTAAAGCGTTAAATGGATAAATTAGATTGTTAAAGCTTGCCTTCTGTTCTCCTTTTTTTTTTTCCTTTTCTTTTTTAATTTTGTTTTGTTTGTTTGACACAGGGTTTCTCTGTGTAACCGCCCCACCTCAGCTGTCCTGGAACTCACTCCATAGACCAGGCTGGCCTCAACCTCACAGAGATCGCCTGCCTCTGTCTCCTGAGTGCTGGGGTTAAAGGCATGCGCCACCACCGCCTGGCAAGGAGTTTTATTGATCCACTCCTCATTCAAGTGGGTGGCCAGGGCCAGGCAGTTGTTGTGGAACATTACTCTAACTATGCAAAAATGTGTTACATCTGTTTGTGCTACATTTGTTTAACTATGTAAAGATGTGTTGCTTTGCCTGCCTAAGGCACCTGATTGGTCTAATAAAAAGCTGAATGGCCAATAGCTAGGCAGTAAAGGGAGGGGGGCTGGTGGGCAGAGAGAATAAGTAGGAGGAGAAATCTGGGCTTGAGAGAAGAGAGAAAAAGGGAGAAAGAGAGGGAGATGCCTGGGACCAGCCAGTCACCAGCCAGACAGACAGACATGAAGAAGCAGGAAAGAAGGACATACAGAAGGAAAAAATGGTAGAGACCCGAGGCAAAAACAAACAGATGGAGAGAAACAGGTTAAATTAAGTTCTAAGAGCCTGTGGGACATGCATAAGATAACTGATAAGTCTCCACGTCTTGATTTGGGAGAAAATCTGCTACAGGCGTTGGTGGCGCACACCTTTGATCCCGGCACTCGGGAGGCAGAGGCAGGGGGTCTCTGTGAGTTCCAGGCCAGCCTGGTCTACAGAACGAGTTCTAGGACAACCAGGGCTACACAAAGAAACTATCTCAAGAAAAGGGGGGTTGTTCAGAAAGGGTGGATGCTCTCTCTAGATGTGGACTCCCAGCACAAAGCACAGGACCACCCCCTCCCCAGGGAGGGCTTCACGAGACGCTCAGCCTGGGTCTGGAGGTAGGCAGAAGAGGGCTTACCTTTGGCTCTGCCACCCTTGAGTAGCTGGTTTTACACTGTGTCTCCAATATACAGAATGTGAGTGTGCATCCAATATACAGAATGTGAGTGTGCATCCAATATACAGAATGTGAGCATTGCAGGCGCAGCTGGGTTGCACATAGGGAGGGACCATGCCCATACTGCTCACTTTCTTATATCTAAATGCAGTGTCACCTCTGTTCTCCAGTTCAAACCTTCTGGATGAACGTTTTATGTAGTTGTCTCAGTGAATCCTAATATCCGCCATGAACGTTCCTATCATTAACGCCATTGTACTGATGGAAATGTGGAGGTGAAAAGACATTAAGGAGTGCATGGTTCACAACGCTGTTGGGATGGAAAGGCAGGTTTCCTACAGGGTCTTCCCGCCAGGGAGAGCATGGGCTTACTGACGGATTGACTCAGAGCTTCGCAGCTGCCCTCTGCACAAACAAACTTAACTCGTCTGAACCTCAGGTTTTTTTCGTCTATAAAATATGGCTGTAAAGACTGGATGAACCAAAGTATATGAAGTGCTTAGTCTTGTACATGTTATGCAGATGAAGCTATTAGCAATAATTACGATTATAAATAGACATGAAATTTCACTAGCCCTTTTACCATCAACACCATGGTTTTCAGATTACATTGAGCTGGCAAACAGTTATGCCTTCCCCTGGTGGGAAGGAGCACATGGTGCACCCAAAGGGACAGCCACCACCCAACCCGACATGAGTCCTCTCAGACATGCAGGGCTGATCCGAGTGCGAGCATTGGGAGCAGGAGACTCAACCGATGCTGCTGTCCTTTCTTCAGACCCCTGTTGACACGCAACCCACCATACTCCAAGGCCTCTCCACAGGGTCACATTCTCTGCTCTGCTCCCCGTTCCCCCCTGAGCAGTGACCCAGGAAAGCAAAGGCTTTCTCTACCTCCACGGGGCTCACCAGTCTCAGGGAAGGTGATGCAGAGAAAAGGTCCCCAAGCTGCCCCAGGCTTCCCTAAGCCACAGCATTCCCAGACACAGAGCCCTTTATCCCTGAAAGGGAGCAGCCAGGCAGAAAGACAAAGGCCATATCTGATTCCAACAGGGTGAAGACCACAAGCTGGGGTAGGGAAGCTTGCAGAAGGGGCCAAGAAAGGGGCTGGGGTGAACTGGAGAAGGAAAGGGGAGGGGCTGGCGTCAGCACTTCTACTTTTCTCCCTCCGTGAGGAGGGCAGAAGAGAGATCTCACAATTCCCATTCCCAAGAAACTTTTCATGAAGGCTCTTTCCCCAGATACTCCAGCGTGGCTGTCACAGCCCAGTTACGTACACGACGTCTGATTCTTCCTCCCCCACCCTTAAGGCGTGCAGTCCTACGCAGGCAAAAGGCAAGAGTAACCAAGAAGGCAAAGGCCAAAGCAGGCTGCCTGCGTGTGTGTCCCCTGGCTGCCATCCACTCCCTCACCTACAGAGCAGGAAAACTGCACCACCTCCAGGTGATGAAGACTTCGGTGTGCGCAGGACACAGACAGCCTGGCCCTTAGTGGGGATTCAGTGGACAGTGCAGCAGTGTGAAGATACGGGGATTCCTCAGGTGGCTCCGATTCCACAATCTCACCTGGTCTCCTATCTCTCCTGCTTCACACGGGGAAGCCACAAGTCACAGAGTGAAGTTATGGAAAAGCTTGTGAGCCCGGGTGAAAGATTCTAAATATCCAATCTGCCTCCCGAAAAACCGGGAGGTGGGAGAAGGGTACAAAGGTCATCCCTACCAATTCCTGGACCCTCTTACCTTCAGGTCACCTGGCAACCTTGTTTGGTAGTTACCCCTAACTGAGTCGTTTTCCCCAGGGGAAGAGCCACTGGTCACTGTCACGAGGTCCTGGTGGTCTGGACTGCCCTCCACTCCCAGGGTTGTGAGAGGTTGTCTTGGCCCTCTTCTGCCCTCGCCCTATGCTTTTCTTAACATCGCACGCTGGCTGTGTGGGGACACTACCGTTCCAGCAAACCTGGGCGTCTGTGTGTCTTTAAATGAATGCAAGCTGGAGCCAGGACCCAGCAGCCTCCGAAGGCCCTGGTCCCTTTGCCTATGGTTCTCACTTCTTACCCTTGTTAGGAGGTTGGCTTGTGTGTTCCACTGTCGGGCCACTTTATGTCTGTCCCTGTCCCCAGATGCAGCGTGACAGCCCAGTTCCTCCTCTACTCCATTCGTAAAGGTTGGACCCACAAACCAGCTGGCAGAAGGGCCTCGTAAACTTGGTTAAGGGAGCGAGAGTGAGTGAACGAATGAATGACCTTGAGTGTGACATCACTCCCCCAGCCCCGGGCAAGAGCAGGGGACTGTCCTGAGGGAAAGCAGGCCGGAGAGACCCAGTCCCATGTGCCCAGCAGGAGAGCCTCCTGAGCACTAACTGTCGCCTTGCTTGGAGCTCTGCTTTTAAGCACATGAACAGCCGTGAGGAGATGGCATGGTTGCCAAAAAAACAGAAACCAAACACATCAAAACAAACCAAAGGAAAAACCATAACAACACTACCCACAAGCGACAAATGCAGCTCTCTCTCAAGAGCAAGCCAGACTCGTTCCCTGCCTCTGGGACCTCCCTCAGAGCTCAGTGCACTAAAACATGTAGCAACCCCCAGGCCATCCGGAAAGAATGCCCTGGAAGAGGTAATTCATATCTCACAGGGCCGGGCGGTTTTTACAGCTTAGGTTTTTACACATGTAAAAACGGAGCCAGGCGGAGAGGGGAACAAACGTGCTAAGCCAGAGGGTCTCCCCCAGGCAACAGCCTCAGGGGTCACGGGAGACCAGGGGGACAGCCCAGCTTGAAGACTGGACGCAGCAGCAAAGGGGGAAATTGAGCGCACTGCTACACCTGCCCTCGGTCCCTGTACCCTGTCCTAGGTTGCTGGGCTCCGACATGCCACCTCACCCCACCTAGACCTGCCACTCTCAAGTCTTCCGACCCCAGTCCCAAGCCATGGCTACAAGTGGGGGGACGAGGGGCAGGCAGGAGAGCAAACGGCACGTGACATGCATCCAGAAATCCCACCACTGGCAATTTGATCCAGAAAAGTAAACGAGAACAACGCTGCAGGGTCAGTAAAGGTAAAAGGATTTCCAAGCGTTTCCATTTTGCACTCTCACAGACAGTTACCAGGCAATCTAGATCCAGGCATTGTCAGCAAAGCCCAAGCTTTTATACTGCAAGGCCAGGCGGCCTGAGCTTGGGAGGGGAGGGGACACTTCAGCATTAGGGATGGTGGGACCACCTTGTCCCCACCCAGCATGTCTAGCACGCGTCCTGCAGGTGCCCCTGAATCAGGCTGCAGGGCTTACTCCCTCATGAAGCAACACTTTCTTTCTGCCGACAGTCCTGCTATTAAAAAGCAGCTCTCTATGAACAGTGGGATAATGCCTCTCCATTCATCTTAGAGAGATGCATTGGTGAACAAAACAAAAGTTCTTCTTGGTACTCACAGACAAGGGCCCATCTACTTAATGTTCTCTCCGCATGACCTAGGGTTTTTCCTCCTAGACCCATGCAGATGGACAGCAAGTCTGAGAAAAAGCTTCCTGAGAAAGTTTGTGGGCACAGAGCCACACCCTGATTCAGCTAGAACCACTACTGGTGGCTGGCATGGCAGCCTGCTCTGGATCTAGCTGACAGAGTAGAATTGGTTCCTGCTGAAGAAGAGGGTTCAAGTGGCAGGGGTCAACTGTAAGTCACTCGGGCTCTACTCTAGGCCCTGGGGAGAGATCTGGGGACAGAGACCAGGTGCCTAGAACACTAGAGCCAGCAGCTACCTGAGAGCCCCAAAGGGAAGCTACGTGACAGGAAGCACTGAGTGCCCACCAGAGGTAATGCTTCCTTCCCTGGAAGATGGCTACGTCTAACATTTAAGAAGAGAGATGAGACACGATGTCCGGCAGCAATGAGAACTACGGACACCTATTGCATAAATGTATACCAGGTTTTCGGCTATCTCAAGGACGTAGATCCACATCATGTTTACAAAGCCTGGAGAAGGCAGGGTGGCCA